GTTTAGTTACACAACTAAAAATCGACTAATGTGTGCATCATATAAGCTCATAGCAATCAAAGTCAGACTAAACAGTTGTTCCATAGTTTAATTAAGTGTGCGGTCTTTATGTGTAAAATAATGGATATATCCTAAGTTCATCTGACAACATAAACGTTGACATTTAACTTAAATACTGCAATTGTGGTTAATAATTGATTGATTTTATTCAAATTAAATCCAGCATTACTTGGCACTATTTTAATGAATATTTTTTACTTCAGTTGTCGAGTAAAAGTTCTATAGGGACAAAACTAATTATGTAACTTGTTATAAATAAATCGAACACTTTTAGTAAAGTGATTTAAAAAAAAAACAATAAAATATTAATCGAAGTAAATATTTATTATGCTTATTTTATTTATATTCGATGAGAAAACAATTTAATTAATGGTAAAATAACAATAATTTAACTTTATTTATTCAATTACAAAACAATGCAGGGTTAACGACCGTCGGTTAGTTTGTAGAATATCGTGCAGTGGCATTTTACTTAATGCCATAATCAACTCATAGTACAGTCGGCGTCGTTTGCAGTGTTCCGCTTAAAAGCGGAAAAGCTGTAATTCTAACGTCCGATAATCGGTACATGTTATGACATGTTTACGTTTTATATTAATAAAAACACCGATAGCTTCTATCGTTTCCTTGAAGCGATGCGAATTTTAAATTAGTTGCAGTTGGTATTTTTTCTGTAAAAAATGAATGAAGGCTACAAAGGAAGAGGAAGCCCGGAGAAAGTATGGATGGATTATGTGAAAGAGGATATGCTTAAGAAAGGAATGGATTCGGATATGACGGATGATAAAAATGTATGGAAGAGCAGCAAATACTGTGCCGACTCTCCATAAGGGATAAGGGCAAGTTGATGATGGTATTTTTCTGTCTGCAACATCGCGAAAGAAGGCAACTGTACCTATCAGTAGTGTTTGGTGCAAATGTCAATAGTGTATTGTATCCGTTCATTTTAAACGGTACGTAAAATGTTTCGTTCATTTTAAAATAGGTGCGTCGACAACAAATATCAATTGCGATGAGATTTAAATGTCTAAAAGGTGCGGAGGGTCTGTTATTAAATGTCTGCATAACTTATACGTAACCTCTCTATTCTTTATCTTAATCCATTCCTCAAATCTTGTCTGTTATCTATGAATGCATGGAGGTAAATACCAGCCACTTTGTAATTTACTTAGCAATCATATTCATACTAATATTATAAATGCGAAAATTTGGTGGTGGCGATATAGAGGGTAGTCTGGAAGCATATAGACTGCTCACTTTTTGTTTATTTTTAATTCCACGCGGACAGTGTCTCGGGCGAAAGTTAGTTGGTATCGACTTTACTTATATAAATTTAATGTTTAAAGAATGTGACGATTTCTTTTGCCGATACTTTTAATTAGCAGAGCGGTTTAATTATTTCATATATTTGTTGAAAAATGGACTTCATCATCATCTTCCTCCTTATCACACTCCCGTAATGGCGCGGCGCAACAGGTTTTTGTCCTGCACGTAACTCTATCATCCGTCATCTTAGTCATTATTCCCTTCTTGATCATGCTACCTTTCACGCAATACATCCATCTCGTTCTAGTATATCGTATATCGTTAGTATACTCTATCGATCTCTTTATAACCAGCGTTAATCATTATTTATTTAAGTGCTTCGTCCTTCACTTACTTCTTGTCTATTTTCATCAAAAATCAATAGTCAACATGGACGATGTTTGATGTTTGTCAAGTTCTGATTTATTGTTACTTTTGTGGTAAAGAAAATTTTTAACATTCCGTGATTTTTTTTATAGAAACAATATATTCTATAACTGATATAAAGGGAATACGAAAGAGATAAAATAATTTACATGAAAGTACCAACAATTCGTCATGAGTACGGAATTTAATTTGACTATTTCTCATTTATTGGTGCGTGCTCAGTGAATACTGTCACTACTTCTATACACATATAAATTTGGGAGAGCAGTGTACCGTTTTCAAATTATTCCAGTCTCCCGCAGTACGCGTAATGAAAGACCGAGCTCCACCGAATTAGTGGGAAGTCCATAACAAAAGGATGAAATCCCGGCGTCCACCTTCTCTTATATACTGAATACATAAGTATTTTGTACATAAGCTGAACGTAATAATTAACTCATTGGTATTGCGTGACAACGGAATAGGGGAATTAATAACAGAAGTATACAAATTGTTTCTTGAAAGATTTTTTTTTGCAATTGGACATATCCTGATATTCTAGAATAGCTTTAGATCTTCTATGATTTAGTATTATTAAAATGTAATAAGAAGATACAAAAGAATATATTTTATTAACTAAATTGTTGAATTCAACAGTTTTATGTCTAATTTTGTACGTAAAATAATATAAAACGCCATAAACAATGATAAAAGCGACTGTACAGTTTAATGAGTATGATAAATCATTGTTATTGGACAGTCCGGTGCTAAACGGTGTTACGGTATTTTGTAACATGTCGACATTGTCGCCGACTGTACTCGTTAGGGGCCGTGACCAGATGTGTCCTATTTACGACATGTTTCGTGCCAGATATCGTTGACATGCTACTATACTGTACTCTTCAGACGATTTTTTCAGTAAATTCAATTTATAGTGTAACCTAACTATCTAACTTCTAACTAATATTAAAAATGCGAAAGTTTAGATAGATGGATGGATGTTTGTTAGAGTTTGTAGCCTAAACGGCTGATCGGATATCGGTGAAATTTGGTACAGATGTAGAGGATAGTCTGGAAGAACACATAGGCTACTCACTTTTGTTTTTTACTAATTTCTCGCGAACGGAGTCGCGAGCGAAAGCTTGTGTATAATATGTAAAAAACATACAGTTTTACTAGAAACATAGTACAAGACTCACTTACAGTGGCGCCCCCCATTATACGGAAGTAGGTAGCTTAAAAACCATACATCGAGGTCAGTTTTCAGTACAATTACTATCTGTCTTCGAATTGAAGATACATTATAGGAACAAAAACATGTTCTTTTCACGGCAATTACACACAGCCCTGAACAAATGAAGGACAAATAATTTAAATAAATAATGAATCACGTTCACTGAAACAATATTAACGTCTTCGTATATTTACGAGTAATTGTTTTCGTGAGTTGAAATAACAACATTTATTATATTGATTTTTAATTTGTACAAATATTGTTAGTAGTTGCTTTAGTAAATACTATTCCCATATTGTTTCTCTAAAAAATAAATGTTAAAAACACAACACATTCAGAAATAATAACAGAAAAACAAACATGTCGTAGAAACTAAGTAGAAAAAAATTATAATTAACTAAATAAAAGATTATAAATCGTTGTGATGCTGACCGGATTGGGTCCACGCTCAACTTTGAATGCTGAGTGCTACTCATCATTAGCACATCTAGAATATTTTTTAAAGTTAATCACTTTATAACGATATTCCAACTAACCTTTCTCACGCGATAACAAAATCAACAAACAAACAAAAAGCAGAAGGACTGTGAAGAATTTAATGGGAATGAATAATAAATCGCAAATTAAGAAATGCAGTACTAATTACGTTCAACAAAAAACTGGCGCGACTCGCTGACCGTCCGCCCGCTGTGTGGCCCCGCCCCGATTTTATCCATTGCAAAGAGCAGTTGTACCCAAAGTTTAGTGCGATTGTATTGCATAGAGGCCTTTGACGGCCTTTGCGAAGAACTGCAGCCCAATTAAGGTAATTCATAAAACTTTAGAAATACCTTTTTGTTCTTTAAACTAAAGCCGAAAATACATCATCAGAAATTCATCAATTTGGTCTAAGTAATTGTTTTAAATTTATTAAATTTCTTACGCGCACCGTAGTTTCGGAATCCCTGAACGACTGAAGCAAGCAGTCTGTCTACACGACAGCACACTTAATGGTCATTAGGCGGCGCGTGGAATACTGGCCAGTGTGTTCTCGTATTACTTTGTTGTGTGGCGACAGTGTTAGCGGGCAGAATCTCGCAAAATTTACCATATCATTCTTTCATACATCAATGTAATGAAAACTAAAGCATCAATTCTTGAAACATTACCATAGTCAATTGTAATAAATTAGTCCGACAAAACAATGCTGACCTTAAGACAAGCATATTGAAGCCGCGCCACGCTTCCTTTGTGATACAATGATAAGTAATTGATGGCAACATTTAAAAGTCAAATCGACTGCGAACAATCGTTAAGAACGCCACAGCTTTCGTCTTCTACACAGGGTTGCCGCATTAATGCGCGCCAACGTTATTTATATCCATCAGGACTTACATTATGAATTATGTTTACGTTCTAAATGGTTAACTGCCGCTATAAAATGAACATAATCATTAGTTATAAAACATTGTAGGGTTTTTGAACCTTAACATTAAAAAAATTGTTGATAGTTGACATCTAATATTTTCTATTTGTAAATCAATTTGTAGCTACTCGCTGCACGCGTGAAGTGAGGCCCCACCCATTCGATAATTACTGTATTTTAAGAAAGTTTGCAGAACATTGCGTGCGCTTGAAATGCCTCGAGTAAATAATTCATCACTTCCAAGTAGGTCAAGTTCGCATGTGTCGGCTGGTCGGTGCTCGCATCCGTTGCTATACAATGCGATGCAACGCTGAAAAACCGGTCAAACTTGACACTGGCCGTATGGCAACCGCATTGCACCTCCGCGCCACTCGGCAAATGTGGGAAACTATTTGATTGATTCGCTCCGGACCTTTTCACAGTCGATTATTTATTTTTAAACTGTCTAATGAATGTAACAACTTAATAAGGCTATGGCTATATTTGGACGATGAACAGCGATATTAAACCTTGCTGTTTGTAATTCGTAATACACTATCCTATGGGTATAGATGTTGTAGCTAATTGCCCAAAACACAACTGGCCATATAGTTGACGTGTTTGTAACATTATGATTTTCTTTCTTTTCAGCCAAAAAAGCTGCTACAGCCCTTGGAATTGGACGTCGGTGACGGCGACGGGCGACTGACCGCGGGCGCCGCGCGGGCCCGCGCCCGCGCGCCCGCCCTGAGCGGCGGCGAGCCGGCGGGGGGCGGCGGCGGCTGCGGGGCGGGGAGCTGCACTACACACTACGCTTCTATATCAACTGTCACTTCGCCCAAACAAGCAAAGAAACAGTTATAGACCCCTTAAATCTATGTTATACGTTAGTTTTTATGTTTTAATTTATTTTTAGTGTTATACGCCGGTAGCCTTTATCCGTCGCTAGCGAGCTGTTAATGATTTAAGTTTTTTATTTGTATTAATTATATTTTCAATTGTTAAAAAATAACGCAGAATATTTTTGTACCTCGAAGCAAAGTGTTGAACGAAATTTTCCGTCCGATGTCGTTATCTCCCCGCGCCCCCTTGCGGCCCCCCGCGCTCCACACTCTGCCTGTCACCTGTTAACTTATCTGTACAAAGCATTATTGAGAATTGTCTGTTATTGTCTATTATTATTTGGACTCAATTGTTTTCTAAAATGTGAAATTGAGAGATAAAATGTTTCTAAGAAATGAACATTAATTAACGATAAGTCTGTACTATGATGAATTTATTAATTTTGGTTAAAGCAGAATTATTTAAAACTTACAACTGTGATATCCTCTCGGGCATTAAACCTAATGTTTCGGAAAGCTATCGCGTATTAGCACTATTTCTTCGACACAAAAATATCTTGTTTCCGAGCCATTGAAACTACCGATTTAGATATCTCCAACTATGGATATTAATTTTTCTATTCAGACTAGTCGTTATTCAAATATTTTCAGACGTTTTTTATTTTATTTTACTGCATTTTTTATGGTTGTCATTTTTTTATTGTCTATTGCTATAATTGTAGATTTCCGCGATCATTAAAAATGTTGCCAGTTTAATATCTTTATTGTGTTGTACAGATAAGTTCACACCGTTCATGCTAAACCACTGGAACGGAATTGCTTACCCTTAACACACCTTTACTAGATTGTCTGTTGTGTAGAATTTAAATTCTAATAGATACTGCGTTGCAGAAAACAAAACTTGAACGCGTTTACCTCCCTATGCGAACAAAAAAAACTACTTTTGATTACATGATTTTCTTATTTGTTTTCAATTTTATTTGTGGTTCATTCCAAGTTAATTGCAATTTTGTACTCAAAGAGATATCTATAGTTTGACAGCAGGTGAATAGCGTTTTTTTTTAAACCGCGGCTAAAGTTTTGAGACATTTTTGCTTACGTTAAAATGTTTTAATTATGTTTCCTATAAAATACGTGCAATCTATTAAATTGTTTTCTTTGTTTTTTTCCTGAATGTTAAAGCTTCATTGTCATTATTTAAATTACAGAGAAATAATTGTTTAATCTATATCATATTTTGTGCGCTTGTTTATGGTGACTTTATTTTTGTATTACGTTACATTTATTTGTTCATTTTCCTTTGTAGATCTTCCAACAGAAATGTAACACGTTTTTTATTATCGTTAACTCATAGACACGATTTATTTTTTGTCATAGATATTCTTATGATTATTTAAGTTTTCTTTGTTAATTGTAATGGATGTGATTGAGGTTATATGGACTTAACAATTGATCTTTTTAAGGTTGTACTAGCGATAGGTATCTCTTTAGAACAAGAGACGAGGCTGGGGTTATGTATTGTACGTACCTGCCAAAGCTAGATAAGTACATAAAGTATTTCAGTGTATAAAATACTTTCAAAGAAAGGCTCTCTGGTGGGTACACGTTTTCCGTACAGTTAGTGGACGTTATATACCATATCTCTAAATAATAAGATGGTGCAATGGTTAAAGTGGCGGACAAAGTGCACAGAGAGTAATTATAATTTAGTTGTGATACAAGTGCGCGATCGCGTTCGCATTGTTGCAAACAAGTGCAATGTTGGACTGTATGTGTATATCGTAGTTAGGAAAGTTAAGAGTTACGGTGCATTTATCTATGGGTGCGTTCGGACTTAGGTTGACTTTGAAATTTATTTTAAAAATGTAATGATGTATTTTTGTAACATTACTTCAGTAATTAATGGATTGAAGTTAAAAATTTATTGTTATATATGCTAGCTATTTGTTTGGGAAGCCATCTTTGTTTTTGGACGAAGCTCTCTTTTGCAGTTATTAAAAATTAATCTTTTATTGAAAATTACAAAATCAATCTACGTCCAGCGCTCGTTAAAATAAAGACAAAACGGTACAAGTTGACATCTCTTGATGAGAACTCATGGTATATCGTATTTAGTCGTTCATCATACTGGGACAGTGAATCGTGACATTTACAAATTCACAAAGCAGTTTAATTGCCTTTTAAACATTTAATATTTATTTATTTCACGTGACTATGTTCGAATCGTGAGTTCTTGTCGCGAAGAGTCGATCCAGTGACAGCAATCGGGCTAAAATGAGAGTAGGACGCTTCGTGTTTATGGTTCCTTTGAACTTAAAGCCACGGCTACATTGACGGAATTAAAAATTTTAAATATAATAACTATTTATTACTTATCGAGATAAGTGTAATCCTACGAATATATTTCTATTAAACTTTTTATGATTAAAATAAATTTAAAATGGTTAATATTCCTCTCTCAATTTAGCCATTTTGTATCTGTGTTAGCGTCGTATTTAAATTATGATTCTGATACAAATGATTCCTTTGACATTTCTCTAATGTTGGGTTTATTTAGGATAGCTTAGGTACAAGTAGTTTGTTTAGATACCAAGTTATAAAGTTTGCTGACATCTCTAATGATAAGCAACTTCAATAAAAATTAGACAATGTTTGGGCTCGCCGAAGTTTGCCTTAAGATAAGTACAATAAAAAACATTTAATTTATCACTTTAACTGTATTTATCATATTAACATCAAGAAATAATCTTAATAGAAACAACGAACATCGATGCGTAAGTTGTTTTGAAAATTTATTGTATCATAACTGTAATAAAATGTTGTGAGTGCAGAAACGTGGAGTTATGTCATAAAATGTCGGATTGCGAACGACACAGAAATAATTCTGCCGCTATGTTCGTGCCAGAAACTTTATAGATCGATACCGAACAGGACGAGTGACATGGCGGCCATCTTTTAATCCGTTAGAGAAATGTAATCTAGTAATTCTGTCCTTTAATACCTTATAACCAAATTTGTAGGTTAGATTTATTTATTTGGTATACGATTTAAATCAATATGTTAATTTGTATTGTTAGGAATAAAATTAGTACCGTGCTATAGAATTGGCGCAACTCTAGATTATCGGCATAAACGTCACGTCCCTAGCTGACAGCTGTCAAATGTCACTAGAGGTATGGATAGATTGGCGCGCATCCTAAGTCTTGACGAGAAGTATTGCTCTGAGTTAAAAGCGACAGTATCAATTAAATAAGTTGTCTAATAGTATGTTCTACGAAAAACTGTTGCAAAAAATTTTACTGGTACATGAAATGTCAATGGAATTGTTATAGCGAATCGATGTATTAAAAAAACAATAAACTAAAGTATTTATTTCGTTATTTTTTAAGTTTTGGATGATTTTAATTGTTCTCGTTGCTTTATTTGGGGATTTTTATCGATTTTTAGATGTAGTAACAGTATGGAACGGGGGTTGAACATATTTAGTACACGTCCGATTGTATCGGCTTAGTTTACATTTCTAGTGTACAGTTCAATTTTTCTATTCCGATGTTCGTGTCCGTTCTATCCCCGACGTGTAATGTTGTTTGTTATTGCAATTCGTGATTACTCACTATTCCAAAAGTTTCCTGATGTAATTTATTATCTTGATAAATGAAATGACGCTTCTAAAGTGTACTATTACATATGTAAATATAGGACGAACTAATACCTATTATAATAGTGAATGTTGTAATTTGTATATAAGTAACGAAAATTAAATTTTAAATACATAGATAATATTGTGCGTATTCATTTATTTCTCTCTGAAAAGATAATCCCGAAATTTATATATATTAACTTTAGCCCGCGACTCTCAGCTCGTGGTATTAAAAAAATTAAGTAAAGACTATGCTGTCTATGCCAAATTTCATCGAGATCCGTTAAGTGGTTTACGCTATAAACTATAACAAACATCTAATAACTTTCACATTTATATGAGACAAATAAAATTGGGGATCTGCTCGTTACTACCATGGGCATCGCCAAATGACCTAGGTTAGAACTACCCCTCCCTTTCCCTTCAAACCCCTGGCGACGACTGTCTTCTACTATTAAAATACTGAACATCGACTTATTCTTATTTGGGTGTTTCCGCATTGCCAACACTTAAAAAAAGTAAGGAGGTATAAATAAGGGAAGGCAACATTTGAAATAAAAAAATGCAATATATTTCAATCGATTTTTAATAAATAGTACCGATTGTAAAACGTATGTATAACTGCATACAATTTTCATTTTTAAAACCAACTTTCAAATACTGACAATCAAAAATGTACCTTAATTCAATACTTAAATGATACAAATTGCATTGGATACTTAATAATTAATTTTGTCTCGTTTATAATACAAACAACCTCACTCACAACTAATAGGAAACGGGATTAGGAATCCAACATTTTAAACAAATTTCACATTTATTGCTTGGCGTTATGGACTAAATTTAGTTGACAAAATCGTTTAAAATTAATAAAATAAATATCATGCAACTTTACATATCCGTAATACTCAAATCCGGCTCGAAGGACCATTTTCGTTAAATGCAATATTGAAAAGTCCATTTTGAGATCATTAAATATGATACAATCTACATCATTTTAATTCAAAAATGCAAAAACATTCGTTAAAAGGAGATCCTAATTACAAAATAAGGTAATAAACTGCAAAACAACCTTCATTAAAAATACGAAATAATCGGCACCAAAGAATTCGCACCGGCGACTTTTTTAACTTGTGAATTCAACATAAAAAAGTTTTGCTGAAAACCTGAATATAAAATAATCACATAAAAACAAGCCAAATTCAACGAAAATTTCTCATAATAATTAAAATCAGGGTACACGATGTCATTTACACAAATATATAGTCAAAAAACCATAGACATTCTATAAATGCAGAGTATACAATAGGAAGAACATGGAGGTTATTCAGGACGTTTTGGGGCATCGGTAGTCTGATAGACATAACAAATAAATAAACTTAAATTAATAAAATTTAAACTAACACATCCTAAATAGGACTTAAGTCGTAGGACGCAAAATTGGTGTTTCTAGCGTTCTAGAACATTCTTTTATTTGGTTCAAACTCTGCTTCTTTTTATCGAAATAAATTATAAATAACGCTGTTTTGTGGAAAGTTGTTTGAACTACATTTACATAAATAAAAAAAAACTAATACAAATCTTTCTATCACATTTTTGGTATAACAAATATATTCATTACATATTCTAATAAAATAAGAATTAAATTATTGTCTAGTAAATACTTTTGTTAAAACACAGATATACCAAACAGAAATTCAGAAATCATTTATTTAATTTTCACACATAGTTTAATGGTAATTTATTCATTTTATTAAACCTCATTTTGCAAGACGTTAAAATAGGAATTAATATTTTTATTTATGGTCAAAAAATTGTTGCATCGTATTTTACCCATTTCAATGTTCCAACAACTTTCCATCAAATTGCCGTAACTTCAAACATAAAATGGCTCCTATATAGACTATCGTAAGCCAAAATCTTGCATTTACATATTAAGTTTATTAAATTAACTCGATAGATACTGTAGATTTCAGTAATCGTATATAATGTGTTAAAAGTCGTAAATAATAATGTTTTGTAAAATTTTGCTTTTTTAAACATACGATAGTTTACATAGGAGCCAACACCGACTCAACTGATATCATTCAATTGCTATTCAAACATAACATTTATTATACATTTAAAATGTCCTACAAATTTACATACGCCTTAATTGAACCCTATATATAGAAATTCCATTAATTCCTAAAGTATCACAACATCTTAACAAATTTAGATTTTTTGTGATTTTACTAAACAATCTTCATATATCAGTATACCGTTTGAGTCGATTTATTTATTATTTTTTTAAAGAAAGAATCAAAATGCGTTAGAATTCGAGAAATTCGAAATTCAAATTTTAAAAAATTTAAAAGTCAAAAAAAGACAATCAATGGCAATTTTCATAAAAGACATTAAAAAATAAAAAAAAAGTTTTTCAATGAAAAATAACTAATATATTGGGTCCAAAAAAGGTATGTTTAAATTCACTATAGTAATGGGGCTCGCCGCGGCGTGTCGCAGACGTGGTGAAATAAACCTAATTGCCTTCTATATAAGAACTAAATCAGTCTGCAACATCCGCGCGGCGCGTTAAGGCGAAGTCAAACGTGGACGCGTTTACTTTGTCATATCTGGAAATTAAACATTTAGTTATATACAAATATATTTTACGCAAAGATTAATTTCACCAAAGTTACACAAAATAAATCAAATACTTATTGGTGTGTGTTTTTCATTGATTCACAGAATGATAACAAGAGTTGTTGACGAAGAATGTTTTTGACGCATATAGTTTGATTTTAATTCCATTGTAGCAGCCTACAACCTAAACTACTAAACTGATTTTAACTAAAGAGGTGTCATTTGATTCGTCTTTATCTCTAGCGGGTCATAGGGTATATTACATCAACACAAAACACGTACAATAGACGTGAGAACTAAAATTCTAAAAAAAGTAAAAAAAAACGAGTTAAAACCACACCAACCGTTACTTTTTTACCAATCATATTTTTAATTTTTAATGTTTAAGTAAATTCACGTTACTATTAAATTTATTGAGCCATTTTTATCAAGTTAAGGCTCAGAACTTAGCACAAGTCGGTGCACAATGGTACGGTTGGGGGGGGTATTACGCAGTTCATCCATACCTGTACAAGGCTACTTGTCTATGAGCGAGAGCCGCAGCACCTCGTCCAGCGCGCGCTCCTCGTCCTGCCGCCGCCGGGCGAGGTCCGCGTGCTCGCGCGCCGAAATCTCCAGCGCCGCGCGCAAGTCCGCCTCCGCCTCCGCCTCCTCGCCCTCCCCCACCTCCACCTCCAGCGCCGCCGCCAGCATCGCGTCCGCCTCCGCGCGCTCCTCCGCCGTCAGCAGCGACAGCGACGCCTCTATCGCTCTGCAGACACGCCCCTCGCTACACTACACTACACCGCACTACACTAGCCACAACTGTTCATAGCATTTCTGCTGGAATGTGATATCAGAGCCTTAACCCTTCATTCGATAGAGTATTTTGTAGCAAAAAAAAAATAGTAAGGTTTACATTTGGATATGACATAAATACAGTACAGTAATGCAAAAAAAATTAGTGCTGTAGTTTTTTTTAATTAGTCGTTTGTCACGCTGGATATTATCGAATTAAGGGTTAAGTACGATTGATATCATAGCCTTAATATAAATTAGTAGTTTTTTAGAATTACGATCTAGGGAGAGGAGGGTTACCACCTTCTGGCGACGTCGATGGTTGTTAAATAATTTTACTAGCAGAATTAAAGAATGACTTGTTTCAAATGAATTTCGATGATTAATTTCAAGCGTAAAAAATATCAAGACCTACAGAATCGCTGAAAATCAATTAGATAGGTAATAAATAATAGCCACTTAACACAAAAACAAGTATTTCGTATATCTTAGTAATAAAAACCTTAGCCAGAGTTACAGATTATGAGAATAATAAATATTGAATCTAATTAAAATTATTTTTAAAGTTAGAATAGCTTATTTAGCTAAAAAAAACAAAATAATTTAGTACAAATAGCGGGCATCAAAACAACTAAAATCTCCATCTCCTGCAAAATAATTAAAAATATTATTTTCTTGAAAATCCTAATCTGTACTATTATAATAAAGCGTAAACACACACTTCTTTGTTGCCTAAGATGTCAGCAATAACACCATATTTTCGAATAATTGTTTTTTTTAATAAAAAGCCCTTCACTTGTGTCATGCTTTAGGCTATATATTATAATTCCATTAAACATACGGGGTAAATAGTTTGAATAAAACCCTAATGTGGGAAAGAGACCATAAGTTGCTGCCAACATCAAGGAAGCAAGATTGCCATGGTTTGTCATCATGTCATGTCATTTTGACATTTGTAATTGATAATTTGACAAATGTAAACAATAAAATAAAATTTTCATAATTTCATGCAGATGAAGCCGCACGGGAACAGCTAGTAATTAGATGCGAATGCAACAAAAGAAACCATTAACATATAACTATTTAAAAGGTAAAAAACGATTAAAAATAATACCTTTGCAGTTGTCTCTCCTCAGCGGCGAGGAGTGTGCGGGGCGGGGCGGGGGAGGCGGGGCGCGCGCCGCGGAGCGCCTCCCACACGTCCACCTTCATACATACAATTTCTCATACATTTATGTACCGTGATATAATGGAAACAAAACATTTCGTATATATCGTAGAAATTAAAAATGTCGAACATTCGACAAGGATTATCGATTGATATAAATTGTTTGAAATACTTTTAAATTCGATGGGCGTCCCCAAATAGAAGGCTGACCGATAGTCAAAGTTGGAGGGGGTTCAGTTGTAGATTTTTTTTATTACAACTCGAGAACTGACTAAACTAGGAATTGAAGATATTTGGATTTTTCGCAGTTAATTATACTTCTATTTTAATTTTTTTCTATCACAGAGGATGGGGAGCACTTGTCGGACGACGCCTAAGTCTTCTACTTCATATATCCTTACTTCAGTATAAAAACCGACATTATCTTTACCCACTTACCTGATCATCATGTGTGCCAGCTTCCATAAGACTCTGCTGTATCGCGTACTGGAGTAGACCCTCATCATCATCAGTACCACTGGACAGTCTGTCATCGGAGGCCGCTGCGTCTTTATACCCGCGACCGATCTCAAAACAAGCGTCATCCACTATACAGGAGAGTCTCTCCCCTTCCTGTATGCACTCGATGTTGGGCACAGGGGACTCGGTCGCGAATATATTGCCGAATGTTATCCGAGCATTCACCACGTGGAAGAGCGGGATCTCTGCGACAAATTGTCTTGATAGTACCGGAGTTAGGATAAAGCCGCCCAGGGCGCCCAATACAAGACCAAGCGCCCAGGGCAAGGGCCTGAAACGCCCTTTTATTCCTTTTGTGCTATAGTTAAGAGGGCATGTCGCCCAGGACGCCGGAAATACAACCTATCTTCTTTGCTAGTCCACAATAGTGCGGTGCAGAGATAAATTAAATAAAAATGGAGAATAGGTAATTATTAAAGCATTAATGTGGATTTATCCTAACTTGAATAGGCATAAGCGCGCCTCACTATTTACGAGACGGTAACGTACATTTTCATAAAAAATAGATCTAATAAATAAAGCAATACATAGAAAATGACCATACTAGGTCTCTTTTAGTTACCGTCTCGCATCCGACGTAATTTAAGCTCTCAATATAAGAACTCGCACTAAAATTAGCTTATAAAGACATGCCTTTAGGCAAATAGTGCAAACGCCTAAATAAACTGGCATATTTCAATAATTCCAGATGTTTTGCTGAAAATAACCTAAAGGCGCCTAAATACGTGAAGTGTCAAAAAATTTACCGCGTTTTTTGCTTTTCTGCCTACTAAAAAGCTAGTGATGTGTTTGCAAGTGACAATAAATGTATTTTTTACCTTCCACAGAGCGTACAACTGGAACGGATATATAATATGAATGGTGTGTGACAAGGACAACAAATGTAAAAATTGTTTTGAGACGCGCTTATTGCTAATGACATTTAATTTTCAGAGATATTTTACCAATAAATAGTTTAGTTTAGTTTAGTTTTAGTTTAGTTAAAATTACAACAGTTTAATAAACAACTTAATTTCCTTCACATTTGTGCATTCAATAATATCTCAGGTTTTTTGTCGTTTATTGGATATTAACGCTGTTCTTACACATATTTATCATAATAAAAACTAAGGCAACACCTTAGTGATTACTTTGAGTAAGGCTGTCATGAGCAACTTACCGATTTTAACCGGGAATCCTGCGGGCAGTTGCATTTGAATGAAATCTTTTAGTTTGGCAAAGTGCGGGGAGGCTATCGCAGTCATCAAGTCTAGGATCGGCATTATCTGTTCTTGTAACTGAAAGACACAATTAAACTCTGATTAGTTAACCCATAAGGAATTATTGAATTAAGAAACACTTATTTAAACTCTTTGTTGGTCAAAGATTAAAGATTCTGTCAAAATTGACAAAGATGGCAGAATGCTTAATCTTTGACTAATAATGGTCAAAGATTATACAACACGCTCAAGAGTTGGCTTACTGGCCACTAAGAGTTGTCACAGTTTTCTACAACGAATAAACGCATTTTGGCTGCCGTGCTGTTGTTTTCAGTTTATAAATAAGTGCGAAAGTTAAACTAAAGTATGAATACCTAAAAGGGTTAGCTTCGAATGATTTGCAATCTGTAACATTTTATTTTGACCTATAACAAATATTTTTTTCTATAACCTACCCGGTTGTATACGAGTGGTTTTTACCAACTAGTTATAATCTACCAGTTTTTACTTTAAAAACAATGAGCAATAAATAAAACAAAAACAAAATTAAGACAAAATGGGTTACATTCGCTTCACACATATCAAAAGAAAAAAAAAATGGTCTAGCAAAAAAGATATTTTATAAAGTTTTGTATCCAAACAAACCCAGAGAACAGAAGAGAGTAGAATTAGTGATTACATGTCTTACTTCAAGCGGGTAGTCCTCACAGAGCCAGAGGGTGGCTTTGAACTTCTGCACCTTGGTGGTGACCTCCCGAGGCCGGCCGATGTCCCTGTCCAGCGCCGCCGAGCCGAAGTACTCGCTCCACGTCACTGGCTTCACCTCTTCTGACGATCTACTCGTGTGAGGCTCTTCTTCTACTTCTTCCTGGAAGGAAGTATTTTTTGATTAATATTCGGTAAATTCAAAATTAGACGGAATTGACAGGCCAAAAAGAAGTACAGTTGTGGAACTTCGTGAAGTCCGCATTTCAGAATTGGGCGCGACGGAAGTGGCGCGGGGCGTGACGTGGGGTGTGGCGCTGGACGTGACGCGGGGTGTGGCGTAGG